ATGCACTTAAAATTAATATTTATCGATTGTAATTTTTTTCACGTTGACATTTTAACATGCTTGTTTACAAAAAAATAGTACGAAAAAGATGGCAGATACCGACACATGCGCACAAAAAAAAATTGTGATGAAAATGCCTATTAAAATTGTTTCTGTGTCTATTTTTCTTGTATATACCCCATAGTATAATTTTTACAAAAAATATCAGTGTTTTCTGTTGAATTTTTGGGTTTAATATTATTTTTATTGCGAATTTCACTTTTAAAATAAAATTATTACGGTCATAATCAGACACTAAATCCAGTTTACTCCAGAAAAGTCCGTCTCCGTTAAAATTACCTAGTCTTTTAGTATTCCTTATCACCTATCAACAACACGAAAAGCTTGTCTACACAGGAAGTTGCTCATTTTTCTGATGATTTGCTCCTCCCCTTTTTCCCCCTATTTTAAGAGATATGCCGCATTTTCGTGACAATATAAACATTTCTTTCTGGATTATGTTCCTTTATGAATATTTGGTATTATACATTATACTGGGCTATATATGCATAGAATGTTATCGCAAAAAATTACGAGTTTAATAGATGTTATCGGGTCGTATTAGCTGCTGCTTTTTTATTGCTATGCGAAGAAAAGTCGAAGATCTGATAAAAGTTCATTCTAAAACTGTCGGTTATGGCAGCAAAAAAGACCTATTGTTATTTTCATTCGGATCGTTGATTATAATTTCCTGATATTTTCTTGGTGTAGAAAACACATTATAAATAAAGAAAGAGTGAGAGATAATTTAATGGCATATCAATTTTCAATTAATATTAAGTTACGTTGAAAATGAGTAGAATATCCGTTCACTGCTATCCAAAATAAAATAAGAAACATTTAAAAATATCATTACAAACTAATAGTTGAGGTTTTATTCTAAACTAGCTCTGGAAAATAGTAACAAACGCTACACAGAACACGTTCATTGATGGATCGGGTGAAGAAAAAAGCATGCTAGTACCGGATGCAGATAGTTTTTAATAAAGTACGCATATTTTTACCTAAAAATGTACTCAGATACAATTATCCGGGTCCTTTTTTTGGATACCTACTTTAGGATACCACTTTTTAGGATACTTTAAAGAAACTTTTTAGAATACTTTTAAAATGAGTTAAAATACCTAATGTTTTTATACCAATAATAAATACAATGGAATTGAATATGATTAATAATAAGACGTGTTTATTGAGTTATGGTAAGATCAAACATTCAGTCCTGTTTTGTTTGTGTTGAAATAAATATTAAAACACCGGCCAAGTGCGAGTCATCGTACAAGATTTAATACTATGTAGGTACTTTTTAAATACTTTATTAAGATCCAGCAAAAAAAGCCAAAAAAAAAACACGTTTCTAGTATTTTTAATTTATTTCATTTGTTTTAAAATAAAAATGAAGTGCCAGTCGGAAAGTGTTTCTCAGTTTGTTGTTTGTTTGTAGAGTGTGAATAAGCTTGTGTCTGTGTGTTCTGATGTGGTTGGTCGAGGGATGGCCCTAGATGTGAAGAATGTTTTTTTGAATTAATAAAGGTTCTTCCGTTCGTCCCACTGGTGTAGGAATAAACTACACCAACGGACACCATAACTTTCGTTTGGCCCGTTGTAATATCCACTAATCTGGGTCTAATCCTAGATAGCAAACTTACTTGGAACCAACACTTACAAAAAGTGACCAACCTATGTAAAATGTATTTCATTGTAGGGAGACGGGCATTTGGCTATATTTGGCAATAACAATACCCATGATAACTTATGGAGCGGTTGTTTGGTGGCCAAGAGTAAGCCAGAAAGCAGCCCCCAATATCCTCTCAGGAGTTCAGAGGCTGGCATGCCTCTATATTACAGGAACACTGAGGTACACCTACAGCCTCTATGGAAATCAATATAAACCTCCTATATTAAACGTGGGATCAGATCACATGACATCTCGCCTAACCTTCAACACTCTTCCAGGTCAACTGCAACTGGAACGAGGTAAATAAGGAGGTAGATAAATACTTGCTTAGCGGTCTCGTATTGTATACAGATGTATCTAAAACTAACAAGGGAACAGGTTCTGGAGTACATGGGGTTAAATCCAAATGCGACATCATCGTCTCACTGGGAAAACATACCACTGTATTTCAGGGTGAAATACATGCAATCAAATTGTGTGTACGAGATAATTTAAGAAGAAAGTACAAAAAACAAACCATCCTAATTATCTTAGACAGCCAAGCAGCCTTAAAGGCGCTTGATTCAAACAGAATCAAGTCAAAGCTTGTTTGAAACTGCCTTGGAATACTAAATGATCAGGCAACATACAATAAGGTAAAACTTGTGTGTGTACCAGGGCACAAAGGTATCCAAGGAAATTAAAAAATGATTATGAACTCGCCAAAAAGGGATCAGAACTACCATTCACAGGACCCGAACCTGTATTTGGTATAAGCACAACTGAAAGTGACAATATTCCTAGTTTTCTTTTAAAAGATTGTGCTAATGTGATTAGACCTTTATTTAAAATGTTTAATCTAATTGTCCAAAGTCTGTATTTCCTGATGTGTGGAAAGTAGCTAGAGTATGTCATGTGTTCAAAAATGGTGATATTACGAATATCAAAAATTATCGTCCCATATCCATTTTAAATAATTTTGCCAAGGTTTTGGAGACATCAGTGTATAGCCTAATTTATGCTCAAATAAATTGTTTTATTTCAACCAATCAGCATGGTTTCATGCGACAAAAGATCCCACTTCGAATCTTGTAGGAATTACTCAGTATATAGCTGAAGCTGTGGACAATAAACAACAGATTGATATCATATACACTGATTTCTCCAAGGCTTTTGACAGGATTGACCACAAAATATTAATTAATAAATTAAATAATTTTGGTTTTAGTGCTTCTCTCATTACATTAATAAAATCATATCTACACAGCAGAGGACAATTTGTTGCTTACAACGGTTACTATTCTATAATATATTGCCCTACATCAGGTGTTCCTCAAGGGTCTAATTTGGGACCCTTGTTGTTTTTATTATTTATCAATGATCTCTCCACATCATTAGAGTGTAAACATTTATTATTTGCTGATGATTTGAAAATTTACTCAAATGTGACTTCTCAATTACACTGTTTATTTTTACAAGAAGAATTGAATAAAATCTCTGATTGGTGTACAAGTAACAATATCTTCATAAATTTGGGTAAATGTAAAATTTGTACATATGGTCGCAAACTCCATCTGGTTTTGCATGATTATCAAATAAATGACATATCTTTATCAAGGGTTACGCAGATGCGAGACCTTGGAGTCACATTTGATTCTAGTTTGCAATTTGTAGAACATATTAATAATATAGAAATGGTAGAACTTTTTCTAATGAAATTGGTCTAAAAACGCTATTTTTTGCACTCACAAGATCAAAATTTGAATACGCATCGATTGTTTGGGATCCGCATTATCAAGTGCTTATAAATTCATTCGAAAAAGTTCAACGCAAGTTTTTTAAATTCTTATCTAGCAGGCTTGATGGAATTTATCCTGCAAGAGGTATTGACCAATCTATTTTGGTACATCGTTTCAATGTCTATTTCTTATAACTAAGAAGAATACATGTAGAGCTGACGTTTCTCTATAAATTAGTACAAAATTTTATCGATTCCTCAAATCTTTTTTATCAAGTTAAATTTCACCTAGAATTAACTCTAGAAGTATTACTACGTTTTACTCAGATAATGCGAGAACTAATATTCTTTCTCCCCACTTCATAAAATGTGCAACAACTTTAATCATGTGGCAAACTTATGCGATATTAACTATGATTCACTAATTTTAGATAAATTCAGTCAATATTTTTATTTAAATTTACTTTTACAATAACTCTTTAACTTTGATTTTTTGTATAATTTTCTGATATTCTAGTTGTTGCTGTTGTAATATAATGTAATGTAAACGGAATAATGTTCATGATTTCGTCTTCTGTTTTCCCCCTTATATACATATATTTTTTTGTAACTTTAAAATGTTAAATAGTGTTTGTTAACTGTATGGTATTGATTTTGTCTATATCTTTAATGTGTAACTGTATTATACTAACATGTATGTATTTTAATTTATATTGCCTTGTAAATGGAGATTCTCTGTTGGACAATAAAGGCTTTATTTATTTATTTATAAGCAAAACCTCTGCTCGACAGGCAGTGAACAGGTGGATAACCACAAAACACTAAATTCACTGGTAACAGATAAGAGGGCACATAATCAGTAAGGGGACCAAACCCATGCATGGCCTCAGATACCCACCATTGTGGGATTACTAACGGGACACTGCTTGTTGAAACACCTTCATGTGATGGGATTACACTACGTGTAGACTCTGCATGGAAGAGGAAGAAACCTCATATCATGTGATCTTCGAATACGAAGCTCTTACTAGGCGGCGTCTCGTTTTTTTCGACCTGAAACCGGAAAGAACGCCCCAGGAACACTATTAAACCCAAGATACAGGACTGTCCCAAAGATAGTACCTGAATACGGGGAAAGCAGGGAAATACAATAGACCCAAGAAGCCGCAGTGTTCTGGGCCAAACCTAACCCTACTTGCTAATAACTGACAGAGATAAAGATATATTTCGAAATATTAAACCATACTTTGACAGGCTGGGTACTTTAAAACAGTTGCATATTAGTCAACATATGTATAATATGTTTTATTTTAATTTTAATTTTAGTTATAATACTTACGTCGTACTTATATGTTTACAAATTTTTCGAAAAAAAAAATTATCTGATCACACCACCTTGTTCCCCCATCGGAACTCTCAATATTCCTATTTAATAATATGTTAGAATAATTTTGCATCGAAGCATTTCAAAAAAAAAAAAACGTGTAAACTTATAATAAGAAAAGTTTATTTCTTTAAAAAGCGTCCACTTTCACTATAAATAATTAAATCAGCAATTTTTTGTTTCAGGGAATTCTGGACGAACTGAAAGTGATCCGAGGCCCCCACGGCTACTTGGCTCTATGTCCGCACGTGGATTCCATGTGTCCCACATGCGGCCAATTCGTGATGTTGCAGAACACCGTTCAGGAATTGACGCGACATCTTCAGGAACTTTCCGAAAGGGTATATGGACTACCATGTAATTCACATATAATGCGTACTGTACACTTAGCCCATAATTATTTACAGCAACGCTAACTCTATTTATGACGAATATTCTTTAACAAAAATAATTATTATTCGATTAGTTTTAATCGAATCCACTCTCTTTTATTTCACTTAGTTTTGAATATCGCCTATTCAATAATTCAAACTGCACTATGCAGGATGTACAAATGAAACAAGTAAAAACTACTACTCCCATAATTATTATTTCTATTAGACTGAGAGCCGCCCGTTTAAAATCGAAGGGGGATTATTATTGCCGGAATTGAAAACACCAACCTTGGTATGCCGTCGTTTTACGCACCCTTCAAAATAACAACAATTTATGGCTGGTAAAGCGTCATTTTGTAGCAACGATATAGAAACAGAGTGGGCCCTTCAAAACAAAGTCCACCCTGTTATTTGGCAGTATTAATTGGACTGCTGTGAAACAAGTTGATTTTTATTCCAAACGAGACAAATTTTTACAATACAGACATATGTCAACCCCCTTTCTTCTACTTTTCCAACCCCTTAATTTTAAATATATGGAATCTATTATATATGTGGCACATTATTAGAAAGGTATTGCGATGGACTATTCAGACATAGGTATGATCATCTATGACTTGTGATACAAAAATTACCTCAATAAAGGAGGACACTTGTTCTGAGTACTCAGAGGGTCAATATACAAAAAGTTCTGACGTCTAAGAGGTGAGCCGGAGGGGAAAGGGCACAAAGAAGATCTCACCTTTAAGGTTTTCGAGTATATCTCAAAAACGGTCCGTCGTAATAAAATACTAAATGAAAGCTTGCTTTTTGAAAAAAAATAGATTTGTATCTAATATTTTTCATCAAACATTTCTTTATATTGTCTAAACTATTCATCTGTTAAAGAAATTCCCTGATATAGATAATTGTATTCACTTTAAGAATATTATGTACATATGCCAACTGGTCAACAATTATACCAATTTTAAGAGTTTTCGTAAAATTTTGTCATTTTCAGAATAAACTGTTTTTATCATTCCTGAGCCATTTCCGTTTATTACAACTATGTATCATCTAATATATGTTACCCTCAAGAAAAAAGGTCAGGGATCGAGGCAGTGTACCTGCGAATTTTTCAGGAACTTGTATCTGGATGGGTATGTGTCTGTGCTAAATAATGTCTTGCCTTGAAATTTCCATATCTTTAGAAACAATTCGTATTATTGAGAATTTTGTACCAAGTTTCTCTAAAATATATACGGAGACACTGAATCTGTTGACCCATGGAGTAATCAGTATTCGATCCCCATATTTTCTTTCCTACTCAGCCTTGATGGTTTCCATTGGGGTTATGGCCCATGTTACGGATTCAAGTATATCACCTTTGGTGAACTGACAATCGGTGCTCCCCTCCATGTAGGCAAAAATCTCCTGCATAGCCTGTGTTACATGTCTGCAAGGGTGGCTCCAGAGGGGCCTGGTGGCTTCTCCCCGAGATAATATTTTTTTACAATATTTAAAAAAATATGCTAAAAATAGGAATGGCTAATAGCAATGTCCTCCTCCGAAAATTCGGCCTGCGGCCGCCCTTGCATGCCTGTCTCTTGGGATCTCAGATTTCGGAGTTAGAAAACTGAAAGGCTTCACAAAAGTGTGGTAGCAGTCTTTGTGGTTACTGCTTCCTCAGCAACAAGATAGTTAATGGAAGGCAGACGACTAACAAATTCGGCACCTCAGGAATCCTTCCTTTTAGAACACGCCTCCGTGATACACTTAGAGTTTCAACTGGTTTTAGCCTTTGCAAAATGTGCACATAAAGAACAATTGAGGGGCCCAGAAGTAAAAGGGTTTAAGTGCAGTTTTGGTAGTTCCGAGATAAATGGCTTTAAAGTTAACTTAAATTTCAAAATTCCAGGAATAAGTTTAGGAAACTATGTAAATATTTTAGTTTTATTTAAAGACAAACAAACATTACAAAGAACAAAGATTTTTTTTAACTTTCAATTTTTTTGTTTTTTTTTGCAAAAATGCACTTGAATCATTACACATGGTAAAAATTTTTTGGTGGTGAAATGATTCAAGTGCAATTACTGCATTAAACTTAAACTTATTTCTAAAAACAAAACACAAAATGTATTATTCGTAATCAGAATCTATTAAGTTGTTATCTTCATCGCTTTCTTCCTCTTTTTGGCTTTGTTTCTTTTTTCCTTTTTTTTCTGATGCCTCTCCTCCATCGTGCTTTAAAACCTTCGTAAAAGGTGTGGTGTCTTGGCGGAATGTAATCCATTAAGGTTAACAAATTTTTGTACTTGGCAGATTTAATTTTTATTGAAGTTTTGTTCAAAGGCTTTCAATATTGAAAAATTAAAAGACGGACGTCCAACTTGCAAAGTTGGCATCTTACAACTGAAGAAATCTACATCAATGTTTAATGTTCTTTTGTATTTAAACGATAGTCGTTCAGTTTTGTAATAAGCGAACCAACAAATTTCCCTCCATTTTAAGGGGTGACCGTCACTATCTTTTTTAGGATCTTTCATTATTTCATTAAAGGGTGAAAAAGAAAAAAAATCGTCTTTGTTCATTTCATATACAACAAATTTGGCAGATGTGCCTCTTATTACAGTCTCCCAATCTGCTGGGATAAAAACTTGAGGAATTTGCCTTTTTTTCTTCTCAATTAAGCCAAAACTACGGTCACACTCCATATAGGTGTGACCGGGTTCAAGGAACTTGTGGTGAATCACAGTTATATTTGTGGCTTGAACAATAAAAGAAAATAGTTTAGAAATGTTCTTATTCTTATTCTGTCCCCCACACGAATCACTGTATGCAACAATCTTTGTTACTGTTGATGGAAGACTTCGAATAAATTTTATTAGGCATGAGCCTATCTCCTGCGAACCCCTGGATGCAACAGTTTCGTTCCATATAAACATATGACTTTTTCCAGTCAGTAAGTCAAAGACACAGAAATTATGTTCATAGTTGACGGAGGTAGAAGACTTTAGAAGTTGTTAACAGCGGCGTTGGCAATGCCTGTTGCAAATCAAAACAAATTACAGCAGTATTTTTGGAGTTTTTGTTTTCAGCAATATCAGCTTTCTTGGCGTCTGTTGCTTTCTTGGCTTTCCTTTGGTGTAGCTCGAGGTCTCGCTTGGCATTTGTAATCTCGTCTTCATTTGTGGAGTGTTTTACTAGATTTTGTAAATTGTCACAACGACTGCAAGTGTCACTATAAGGCTTGTGAAACCTTAAATTAAATTCCGTATTGAAAATAAACCTATAATAGGACTCTTTTACTGGTAACTCTTGTTTTTCAATACAAAACTCCTCATATAATTTGTACATCTTACTGATACTCAATTCGCCTGAGATATACTTTGCGTTTAGATTGTCTTTTCTAGAATAGTGGCTACTATATTTCGGGAACATATTTAGGTGGGAAATGACGAAATTTTTGGATGATTCCTTTATTTTATTTGGAGGTTCCTTTTTGCCACGCTTGTCAGGTTCGGTCATGTTAAGATCTGTAGTTTTTTTGCAAACAGTTTGAAATCGTCGCACAGAAATGTTAAAAGTGCGTAAAAAAATTGTTTACAAACTCGTTTTCCCACTAAGGTTATAACAGTGCTATAGCTTTTATTTGCAACAGCTGCGACTGTATGTCTTTTAGGTGGGATTTTTTTAATGCAGGAAGATAAAAAAGCAGTTTGCAGGTCGTAGGAAGGAAGTTCATAAAAATTTCTAAACAGCTCTTGCCTTTGGGCCTCACTAATATTGTCATTGCACTGATATCTACAAACGTGAGGATATTCTTTTAGTTCTTTTGCTTTCTGTACCCTATTTTTCCTTCCAATATACTCCTTTCCTTCTGTCCGCAATCTTTTAGCACTGTTAGCTTTCCACTCTTTCGGGCGCCGTTTTCTTTGTCTAGTTTTTGTCGGAGTGACATGTATATATTCATTTTCATGTTCATCGTCTGGTACTACTACTTCAACTTCTTCTACTTCTATGTCAGGAACATAGTCTGAATCCTCATCAGTCTGGAATGGATCAGCTTCTGTAAAAACAAAATAAAAATTATCTAACCCAACTTTTGATTAATCCTAAAGTTATTTTACATTTTAATCTTTTCTACGAAATTAATGTACTTACCATCACTTTCCCAGTCAGTACTCATTTTGCTTATCAATGTAACACTATCAACACTGCAAAATATGTGTTTTGAACTAACAAAAGTACCTGCGAAAACACATTAACATACGTGAAACATTAAAAATATCTGGCATCTACAGACATCTCTAGAAGTAAAACGGTTCATGTATACTTGAATCATTTTAAAAATAGCCGACATCTACAGACATCTCTGGAAGTAAAACGGTTCATGTGCACTTGAATCATTTTACCACAGACTTTATTGGTTAATATTTTGATACGTTTTTCTAGTCTACACGAGATGTCGCCAGGGAACGTGAAATACACTTGAAGCATTTTACCTCTAAGTAAAGGTCTACTTTAGGTGTGATAATCTGCACTTAGACCGTTTTTTTAAAAAGTGCACTTGAACCCTTTTACTTCTGGGCCCCTCAATTGTTCTTAAAGTCGAATTTTTCGAGCTGAAGATCTGAGCTGAGAAGGTCCTGCCTCTTTCTTAGATCTAAATACCTCCCTAACATAATTTTTTATTGTATCAATTCAAATGTGATTTCTACAACTGGTGTAAATCAAAAGGGATGTCAAAACTTCGGAAACTTTGGTGCTTGTCCTGCTTCCGTTCCATACTTGCTATAATAAGGCCCAGTATTCCCACTTCTATCACCTCGGACTTCCTTTAACGACATCCTTAACACACAGCACACTTTTATCGACTCGTTAGGGCAAAATGTTCGAGCGTTTCGTATTCATTTACTTGTCTTTAGCGGACACGGCATCACATACTAGAGCAGATCATGTGAATTTTTAAATAATTTTCATGGTTCAATATAGGATTTGAAGGTTTCAATATTAGCAGTCATTTAATTTCTGTTGATATTGCATCCAGATTACAAATTGCAGTGCGTTACCGTTTGGATGATAGTAAAAGGAGTTTTACGAGTTTTTCTCTCCTGAAAGTTAAATAACACAATCAATCATTTAGCAGTCGCCTCGGAGCAACAGGGCAAATATTAATAGTCTTCTCTTCCCCGACACAAGCTAAGTTGACTTAAGGGGTTAAAATTCACTTGTAAGGTGGTGAGTATTGTTATTATTATTATTTTTATTATTACTTATTAGTACTCATTTTGGAGATACTTGTAATAAAAGAATAAAATGTTAAAATTGGTGTAACCGTTATATCAATTTTTTTAAATTTTCAATTTTACGGTGCGTGCAGCTCGAAACCAGTTGGGATTTAGAAAAGTGTGTAAAGAAAAAGTTGCAGATGTACCGTTCTCGAGATATAATCTCAAAGTGGGATCTTCTTTGTGATCTTCTTTGTGATCTTCTCCCTCTGGCTCACTTCTTAGACGTCAGGACTTAGTAAGTTCAGTCCCTAAGCACCCTGAACAAAAATCTAAAGGAATAGCTTGGGTCCCTGATCAAGAAATCTACATCCCTTTTTAGATCATTCGTTGACTGAACTACAAGCTAAAATAAATTAACTGATAGTGGCATTAACATTAAGTTTGTTACTCTAAAATTATAATTTAAACCTTATTTTCATAAAAACATGTGAAAAAATGTTTTTATTTTGTTTGGAAAATGCAAAATATAATCAACAGTATAATTATCCATTTACAAACAATATTTGGTCTAAAATTATAGGTGGTTTCTGCCTTGTGAAGAAAGATAACCTCATGTGCATTTTTTCCAAATTGAGTTAGTTATTGGTGTTTTCAAAATTTGCGGTACTAAATCTATATAATATCGAATATTGATAATTTAATCTTAATAATAAGATAAAGATAAGTATAAAACAAATAATCTCACCACTATATTCTCAAGGGCTGCATTAGGAAAAAAGAATATTTTATTTATTTAAAATACCGTATGTGATGTAATCAATAATATCAAAATTAAAATACATCAAAATAATCTCAAAGCCATGCGTCACAATAATATGGGTGGCCGTTTCTCTTTTGACAACAACTATTCCTTTGGCTAATACCTCACCAGGTATTGAATTACGTAATTGATGTAATGCCGACCGTAGCACTGTAACGGCGGAATATCAAAACGGTACTTAAAAATATATTTTGTCGTATGTGTCAATAAATATACTTCTGCAATTTTTTTTAATAATTTATTTAACTTTGGCCCATTTCTAAATACTAGGTTTAAACATAGATGGTGAGCATGCTACCTCCAAATACCAGAAAGGTTGCCGAATCCAACCGACGGTTTTACATCTTCTCCAAAAAAGGGCAAATCTCGCGCTATACCTCGTACTCTTTGTTATAACGCATGCCAGTTGTAGTATGCAACTCAGAGGCGGCTCGTGGGGTGGTTCACAGTGACAGAATATAGATATCAATACAGATGTATGAAAAAACTTTCAGTGTTTTAGAAAGTTTATAATATACCTTTCTAAAACACTGACAGTTTTTTACCTATATCTGTATATAGATCCCGATATTCTGCTACTGTGAACCCCCAAAATTTTGGTAACAAGCCGCCCCTGATGCAACTAAACTAGCAGTAAAGTTGTTTTGGCTTTATAGATTTACGGATTTTTTTAAAATGGTCTCTTATCCAAGTACTAACTGCATTCAACCTTAGTTAACTGCAGATATTAATACACAGAATTGAACCTGCTAAGCGGGCTACTGCTCTCACATCGTAATTGAAACTGTATTCAAGAAAATATTTTTGGCATATTTTTAAAAATAAAAGTTTTTTACTACCTGAATGTTGTGAGGTATATATCAAGAAATACGCAAACAACACCAAAAAATGGTAATTTTTAATAAGTAAATGCTTTTAAATCATGACATTTGTAACAAAAGTCTTCATATGCGACTTCTTATCCTAAAACAAATTTAAAATTGCTTATTTTAAAAGCATCATTTAACATAATTTTTAGGTAAATATTTTTTCTACGATCACTATCGAAAGTAGGCTTTTGTGCCTTAAAAAGTAATTGCAAAGTTGATGTTTTCTGCAAGCTGTCATAATTTGACATTATTGGCGCTCTTAAGCGGAAAGTAACTTTGGAGCCTAATTTTATTTATAGATAAAATAGAGCTGGTAGTTATTTTAACACAGACTATAACCTAAATAAATATTTTAATTGACTTCCTAATATTTTAAATCATCCAACAGTATTTTCCGTAAATCATTAAATGAATAAATCATAAATAATTACCGACATAAGTATTAAAATTAAATAGGGTGTAACCTGTATACTCATAAATTGTAATAGGTAAGCAGCACAACAGACAAACAACTTAGGAATCAAGTAGGTCGATGTCAAAGAAAGCAGCAGTTTAGTATATTGTGACTGAAATTTTGTAGATAATTTTGTGTGCTCCACAATTAATTGAATTTATTTTATTTTATTTTATTTTGGCGTGATCGTAGAAAAAAATCTTGTGTGTAATTAGAGCTGAAAGTTCTTTGGCAGTCTTGACAGATTGTTGCGATCCACTATTGAGTCGCGCGGATACCTTTTATGTAAACTGTCAAAGTGCTGCTTTCTGCTCTTATTACGCAAATAGCTATTATGCTATATCAAAATATTCCTATTTTCACATCGGTGAAAATAGGAATATTCTAACGTCAATATCAATTCAAATATTTCAAAATGAAAAGTTCCAAAACTTTGATGTGATTTTTCTCGAAATGCATATGCGGCGCTTTCTTAGAACGGCATAATTAGATTCCCTGTGGACACTTCTATTGATACATCCTATCCTGTACGTGTAACACGAATTCTAAAATTTGGCGCCACTCAAGACTTTGTACCAGGTCATAAACATTTTAATATCTAGTTTAATACTAGTTTTGAAATCATAAAAGGGTACTAAAAAAATAATGTTGCAGTTATACTCGTATTAATATTGAAAGACCCACTGAATGTGTGTTCACTAAAAAGTTTAATCTTATTGTTTCTGTTTTTTACAGTTAGTAGAGGCTGAGAATCGAGTAAGTAAATTAGAAGAATGCGACTGTCGAATATCTTGCCATTTCAATGACTCTGTATATGAGGATGGTGCGAAATGGCAAACCGGCTGTGATTTATGTTCGTGTGTGGTAAGTTCTTAAGTTTTTAATTAAATTACGTAACCAATTATAATTATCGCTCTATCTGGTTTTCATGATTCATTTCCATACAAAATTTACTTTTGTTTCATTTTTAAAATTTTCCTTCCTATTCAAACAATGTAGAATATGACTTTAAGTTTGCCCTTTGTTAAACTATAAGCGAGTATATTTTTCTGCAGAAGTTTATTCGAATAATAGAAGCACCGATCAAAAATACAAAATGCGCAGTTAACTTACAGTACAGACTTTTGAAATATCCTTTAAAAAAAAATAACCTGCAATAGTTGTAATAGTTCACAAACTTTCGTTTGGTAAATAGTTCTTTTTGAAACTTTTGCTTCACCTTTTATAGTTCAGGAATATTCATCAAAATCGTTAATCTATTTTGTGTTCACTTATTAATAATTTTACCGGTTCCTATGATAAGTTGTTTTCAATATGTTTTTTTTTATATTTTGCAGCATGGAGAAGTGAAGTGTCGTCACGTGGAATGTCCTAAACTAACCTGTAAACATCCAGTTAATAATACTGGAGAGTGTTGTCCACATTGTCTGAGTAAGCATTAATTAATAAAATAAAAATTTAGTTATCAAGATGGAAAGCAGTAATGAAAATATATTATTCATTCTTCAAACCATTTGTCACACTTTCCTATTGATCTGTATCAGTTAGCAATAACGATTTATGTTGTCTTCTTTATTTACAAATTTTTATAATATTTTGTTACAATTGTTTCCAAATCAAACATTTTGTTTGCTTCATTTTGTGATAAAAGTAACAAAAATAATTTATTTACTTAACTTGTTCCTTTAATATTTTGGTTAATAAAAAATATAATCGAGCATACAGGGTGTGGGTTTTTTGAACGATTCTACATAAAGATGTCGTATACATCAAGAAATAGAAGAAAAAAAAATTTGTTAAAAACAAACTTTCCTTATTTTGAGTTTGTATAACTTGTACATTTCTGCTGATCACATTTAACATGATTATAATACTAATTTTGTATGATTTCGGCAATCTACTGCTTCGTCAACTGAAATACCATCATTAATGTATTTATTTTTATTATGCGTTACTTTATGCTTCTGTTTTAATAGGAGTTACTTTTCGTTTACGCTTTCTATTGCATATCATATATGTAAAGCTCTCCACAGACTGATCGTTCTACAGATCAAACTAAACACGACCAAGTCATGTGGCACCCCTCTATTGCTGCTGGTTAATTGGGCCATGGCCTTTATTTGAAGTGGACTTTGTAATTCTTCATAGAAAAAATACTCAGCTGTTCAAGTAGATGAATGTCTCAGTATGAAACTCTAAAAATATCCACAGAAACGGAATCTTTATTGAAGAAAAATGAAAAGTGATCTACGACCAGAGTGGTTTTAAACTTCAAAAATGGATAAAAATATTGAAAAGATCAATGCGTTGATCTGAATACTACGCCGGTTAAGTATTCGGGCTGTTGCTGAATTTGTAGGGATCGAAAATGGCAAATATTAACCAAAAAAATCATGATTCCTTCTTTCGGACAACGTTTCAGCCCACATGATATACCTGAAATAGATCATCCATCTTATTCACCGGTACTCGCCTCATGTAACTATTTCTTTCTCGAAGTCAAATCAGCACTGAAAGGAACCATACTTGAGACATTGAGACTGTAGAAGTTATCAATGAGAATGCAACAGAGTCCATGAACATGCTTTCAAAAAATTATTACCAGCATTGCTTTGACAAATGAAAGATTCGCATGAAGCGTTGTAAGGATCGTGAATCGTATATTCTAGGAGATAATGTCAAAATTGTGAAACATAATATTGCTAACTTGGTAGTTGCCTGCGGCTGTTATAGGAAACGTACGAATAAAAGAAGAAGTCACCTATCACCCTACAGTGTACTGCGGTAGTCATAAGTAAAAATACGAATAAAAGAAGAACAGAGAACAGTCTAGAAATGTCTAGAAATGGCATTCCGTATCAGTAAACATCTAAAAAATTTAAGAAGGTTTAAGTCGATCATCCTGAGGTCAGAGTTCAGTTTGATATTTCGTGACAGCAGTGAGATACAAACTAATAGTGACCTAAGCATTATGTTTATGGTAAATACTAGAACCACCCCAGATAGCACAAATACGTCTTATGGACGTTCTAAAAACGTCCTGCTTGGACATTCAGGACATCCTTAAAACGTCCATTTTACGGACGTGGACGTCTTATGGACGTCTTTGGAACGTCCATTGTTAATAATCAGGATGTCTTAAGAACGTCCATTTAAGGACATTCCATGTACATTTTCAAAAGCTTGAATGGGGAATAATAGGATGTAAGAAAATTAGTGAAAATAATGAATAATTTCAAAAAAATTTATTTGGAAGCAAATAACCTATAAATAATAATATTATTGAAACTTTTTCGTCAAATTCATTCCGTCTCTTCTCTTCTTTACGCTTTTCAACCATGCCTGGATTGACAGCAGTTGTTTTTTCTTGATTTGGCCATATTTGCCTTCTCAGTTGAACCTGAAAATAATTTAATGGCTTATTCAAAATGAAAGGCAGATCAATATGAAAATTCAATCTGTTTGCGAAAGTTTGCTCTGCTAGACATTATGAATTCACTAACCTTTTATCTTTGAATTATTCACTGGAAAACTCCTCTACTTTACTCTTTTCAACCATGCCTGGATTGACAGCAGTCAGTTTTTTTCTTGATTTTGCCATATTTGCCTTTTCAGTTGAACCTGAAAATAATTTAATCACTTATTCAAAATGATAGGCAGATCAATATGAAAATCAAATCTGTTTGTTAAAGTTTGCCCTGCTAGACATTATGAACTCACTAACCTTTTAGCTTTGTAGTATTCATTGGAAAATTTCTACCTTTCTCAAACATACAAACTGCAAAAAATTAATATTCATCAACCACAAACTCACAGAGTCGAATCACAGTCAAATGGCGGGATGATAGAACTTGTACTCGTATAATATGTATATACCATCGAATCATGAACATTGAACACATGTTTTTTCTTTTTTTTTTATAAAACCTGAGTCTTGAGAATATTTCAGTGCTTGAATCTTTAATAATTAAAAATAAAAATAAAATGACACTTGTCAACAATGTCTCTTTCTTGTAAATGACCTTCTTCGTTTTTGTCTATTTGGCCTTTTTTCAATTGGATATTGGGACAATGTTATCTTTAATAATTATTTATATTATTTGATTATATATGTTTTTTATATAATATAACCAAATAATAATGCAATGCGAATGTGAATCCATGGAAATACAGTAAAACACGTAAAATTAACGTTTTGCGGATATCTATTTCTTGACGTCCCGAGAATGTACTAAATTGGACGTACTTAAAACGTCCATAATTGGTCCTGGACGTACAGACGTTAAATGGACATTTAATGGACGTCCTTAGGACGTCCTGTGCTATCTGGGACTGCGTACAAAACAGACATGGATACTTTAGGCCCCCTCAGCATGGTTTTTGAAGATTGAAGAGGAGAGAGAAAGGCGAAAAGAGGAAAAGGGAAGGCACAGAAGGAGGAAGAAAAAGAAAAGAAAAGGCACAGGAAGAAAGAAGAAGAGGAAAGATACATGATGGACGAAGAAGAGGAAAGGAAAAGGCAAGAAGAAGAGAACGAAAGTCGTAGAAAAGACAAGGAAGAAGAGAAGGGAGAGATGTGTAAAAAAAGCTGTTGAAATTATGAATGGTTTGCTACAAATCCAGGAAACTTTTAAGCAAGAGGTTGGTTAGCTTAACATTCGAGTAGATCTTTTAGCACAACAACAAAAGATTTTAAAAACTAATGTAAAACAGCAGCAACATAATTTAAAAACTAATTTTGAGCAACAACAAGAGAATTTAAAACAACAGGAGAAAGCTAGAGTTGAAAGGGCAAATAAGAATTGAAATAGTTGAGTAAGAAAGAAGAATTCGTAGCCAAGCTTCGGTAAGCAACATTAAAGCTGAAAACACTATCTCATTCTTATCTATAACTGAACTGAGCTCCATTCGAATACTAGTATCACAAAATCATACTAACAAGACCCTCGAGCCACTTACGTTTGACAGTCAGGCAACATGGGAAACGACCCAAATTGAAGCTACAGCTAGAGCCAATAGCTGGACCAAGAAAAAGATGGCAGCTTCATTAATAGTGTCGATGCGGGAACAGGCAGCAATTGCAGGAGTAACCCAGTTATTTGTCTCTCGTAGTCAGAAATATAATGAGAATATACAGGAATTTGGGGCCGATAGAAAAAGATTGCTTGATCTGGCTTATTAAAAGGCGCCCAAATATTTCCTAGAACAAACTGACTTACAGGAAAGTGAAGAGGTCACTACTAATACTGTTCTTCAACCTAGTTTACCTTAAAAATCTTACGCATCTTGCAAAATATGCAAAGAAACAGCCAAAATGGAAGCAGAAGGTGCTTTAATTGCGGAAGAATCTGACACCTTCAAAAAAACCTGTAGAAGCAATGTTTGTTCTATAAATCAAGAATCGGTAAATGAGGCCAGAAATTTACCTACATCAACCTCCCGAAGCCTATCACGAAGTCCAACAAGAAATAGTTACAATAGATATGCCTCCCGGAGAAGCCAGGCACCCACATCTAGCCAGAATACTCAGGAAGTAATGCATCTACATAGCGAAGTTAGTCTTTAGGCAACCACTATCAAGCCAGAGAGCGACGAAGATGAAACCACCCTTGAAAGCCTGATAAAGAGCCAAAAGAAAGACAATTACTTAAAGATAGTCCGAGAATGGCTCAAAAATAGAGTCAGACCTATTTAGCAAGAAATAGCCAAATATAGTGAAACCATGAAAGGGTATTGGACTGTGTGGGATTCTCTGTATCTTCACGATGGCCTATTGCACCGGAAGCTGAAGAGCTCTGATGGGGTAAATGTAGTCCGCTAAGTGGTACTGCCGAAATTACATGCCAGAAGTGTGTTGGAGGAGCTTCATAGCAGCCGTTCAGGAAGATATTTTGGTACTAGAAGGGCACTGGTTCTGGAAAGATTTTATCGCCTATTCCTATTCAGGAAACGACGACAGTAGCAGAAGCATTTATGACGAACGACATAGCGAGACATGGGGTACCTCTGGAACTGCATTCTGACCAAGGAATAAATTTTGAATACGAATTATGACAAGAATTTAAAATGTTAGGCATCAGAAAGCTTAGGTAGAAAGACACCATAGAACCATATGCCAGTATCTTTCAATGTTCGTCTCTGAAAACCAAAAGGATTGAGTCACTTTAATTCCTCTATTTCTGCTAGCCTACCGAAGTTCTGAACATGAATCAACCAGTTATACTCCATCTATGATGATTACTGAAAGGGAGATGAAGCTTCCCCATGTTCTTCTTTTTGGAAGGCAGCTTTCTGATGAAGAAGAGAGCCGTACACCTCTCACGTATATACAGAACTTAAGAGAAATATTAGAAAAGGTGTATGGATTCGCTCGGGAACGTTTAAAAGTCAACAGCGATAAGGCAAAAGCTGGAATCGACATGCATGCCACAGGGACACATTTTGGCTGTACAATCCCAAGCGCTGAAAAGGACTTTGTTAGAAACTGAAACGGAACTGGGAAGACCCCTACACCGTCCTCAAGAAAATCAATGACTTCACCTACTGCATTTAGTTGTCAGCGGGAAGTAAACCCAAGGTAGTCCACATTAAAAAATTAGCGCCATACATTGTCCAGATCCTCCTCGTTGGCTCCAACCATGTCCCAGATTTCAAGTTATTCGAGACAAATAATTAGAGAGGAGGCAGCAATGTTCCCCTGCACCCTGCAATAGCCCGTGGCTGCTATAGTAAACGTATGAATAAAAGAAGTACAATGTCACCCAAAATAAGAAGAGATAACAGTCTAGAAAAGTCTAGAAATGTCATTCCATGTCAAAAAACATCTGGAAGGTTCGATAAGGTCCGGGAGCTCTCCAGGGTGTTCCATAAGTACCGACACAGAACAAATGCGTATTTGGCCCCCCAAAATATGATGATTTAACGTAATTTACCTATATACCATGTTGTACTCCTAAGGAGTTACGGAAGCTTAAAGTGAGGCCATTTATTTATAAAAAATGTAATATCTCTGCAATACCTTCTTAACTTAAAAAAATCTATATTTGCTAAATTATTTAGGCGCTTCATGAGTGTTTGCCGATTTTTAAAATTTTAATTTCATGCAAAATTTTATTTTAAAACTTTTTTTACTTTATTTATTTATTTATTTATTTAATATTTTTCGAGAAAAACGAGAAAAATTATATCAATGCATTATGACAATGTTACTACAAAAATCACTTGAAACTTTAGTTGGCCATGCATTTCTAAATAAATTTTAACAAATAGCAAATTACTTTTAATAAAATCGATATAAATGAGAACACAATTAGAACTAATAATAATATCTACATAATAACAAAAATTAAGTAACCTTGGCCCCACTTTAGGCTTCCGTGATTCCTTATGAGTATAACTTGGTATAGAGGTAGATTGCGTTAAATCGTCATATTTTGGGGTGCCCAACACGCACCTGTTTTGTGTCGGAACACCCTGGATAAGTTGATGATCCTGACGTCGGAGTTCAGTGTGATAATGACGTTGTACGTTAATGTAAAGTTGTATATAGTTTGAAATAAATTGAGTTTACCAAAAACCAGCGTAACAATATTTTATATAACTAATCTGAATTTTTATAGCTATACCTTGTTTATTTAATTTTTATTTACGTATTTTACGGAACCTTACATCAGTAACATTTAAACACACCACCGTATATATAAGAAAAACTTTTTATCTGCAAATCTGTTTACTGTTTATCCTTTGAAGTAAAGATTTTTTTATATAATATTGTTAAGGTCTTATAACTTTCCTTGGCACCAATTTTAAGCCAAAAAGCTTTATATTAACACTTAAATATGTAAACATATCATACTAAATAATTCTGAATAATGACTGAAAACTACCGATTACAAACTGATTCATTCTGATTTTAGAGAATATACCAGTAAGACTGAATCGCAAATGTTAAATTTCAAATTAGTCTTCATTTACCCAATAATTATTTATATTCATTTTTTGGAAATATGAAAATGTAAAGTCCAATTCCTCCTGCGAAATTAAGTAATTCATTTTCACATCTCCAAAGTGAAAAAAAAAATTTAAAAAGCTGGGAAATAAATAAATAAAGAGTGTTCCAGTCCGAGATTGAACCCGGATCTTACAAAAAATATAGCCTTCGATGCATTTACCAATTAGGCCAGCGCTACACATAGTTGCGACAATCGAATTTGTAAATTTAAAGTCATGAGATTCCAGCTCTCACCGGTACACATTTTATTTTTTCCCCAGTCAGTGGCACACCTAGAGTTTAAGTCTGGGAGGGTAGTGGTAATATTTAAGACTTTATTTTTGATAATAATACATTTTAATCCCTATAAAGTTAGGTTTAAAAATTCCTGTATATGCGCTCCTATCCCCAGCTCTCTCAATTCTCCTTAAAGCCACCAATATAGTATCGGTGGGAGACGCTGTATGCTCCATAAGGTTTTTTTTTGCTTAGGATTGTATGACTACGAACATTTAGTTTATTCGCCTATTTTGTCGATTTTGCTCATTTTTTACATTTACAAGTAGTTCTACAAATATTCTCCAAAAGGTTAACTACTAGTCAAGGAAGTATTATTCAAAGAACGGCCAAGGCTTAATCTTAGTTGTTTAGTCAAATATGATGAAATAACGGGTGGTTAGTGTTAAATGGGCTTATTAAGAATCAGATTATTAACTATCTAAAATTAGTCAATCAGAAAAATGTTCTTTTTTGACCTTATTTTTCTTTTTAGGAGAGTGTTCGTTTTTTAACAAATTTTACGATCATGGAGACGTAGTCACGATAAAAAAATGTACGGAGTGCTCGTGCAACGATGGCTCAATGAATTGTAAAAAAATAGTTCCAGAACGGGATTGTCCAAAACTGAACTGTCCCGTAGAAGTACAATACAGCATTCCGGAGCACTGCTGTAACATGTGTCCAGGTACAAATTAACCATAAATAATAAATTAGTATTGTATGAAATCAGTAAGACATCCATTATCACCAAGCGGTTCGAAAATATAAGAGGAAGAGTGAATTTGAATCTGTCACCTAATGTTGATATAATTACAGTTAGAATATCTTAAAATTGAGTTTAAATCCAATCTGATTCAAATTGTTTAAATGATTGTATTTATTATCAAGGTTTTGTGTGAAAGACATATTTACATTTATTATTCCTCTAAATGTGTCTTAATAACTTTTTCATAAATCATTTATATTGTTCCAATCATCGTTAACAAATTTCTGTGTAATTACCATAAAACATGCTTGTATATTACTAATACCTTTGTTTTAATTAATTGATAACCCAACGAGAAAATGCCGAATGTCTATTTTTATCACATGAAAAAACAATATAAAATTTTAAGTTGATTATTTATAAATAATAGATATAAAAATTCGTTTTTATATAAATACGGTAAAACAACTACTTTGCTTTCATGTAATAATTTTTAAGATTTTTCCAACTTGCATGTGCGCATTTCACAAGAAGCTATTAACTAAATATTTCCTTATAACAAAAATAACATAATTATCCATCTATATTTTGACAAGGGTGTAATCTTTTTTTTTGTAAATAACTATAATTTTAATCCATTCTACAGCAGCGGCGTAGCGTGGACCAAAGAGCAAAGGGAGCGAAGGTTTTCTGGGGCGCCCAAACCTCTGTGAGGGGCGCCAAAGATGCTTTATACGCATAGGGTGGGAGGGGCCGTAGCCTCCCCCCTGACTCCTGACTCAATATGCGCTAGGCCACTGATGTACAGTCTTTGTATACCTATTTTAATAGTTCATATTTAAAGAAACCTCCACAAATTTCAATGAGCTAATCATTTCATCTGTTTTTTACTAAAAGCACAGAAAACTGCGTTAAACTTAGATCGAAGTAATTCCTGCCTAGGATTATTTAAAGTAAACTATTCCAGCTAATTTCTTCATCATCATATCATTCGTAGTCATGTGTGATTCTTTATGCCAACAAACAATTATTTGTCGGGATATTGCTGGCCTTTTGCTGTAATAGAAGGGAAAATGAATAGGGCGATTAGAAGATAAATGGCATTTCGATAGTGGCCCAGCATTAGGTTGGTTGTTGATGGCCTTATGAAGGGCAAAAGCATGATAAAAGTCAGACCCAACCCAAGAATCCAGTAGGGCTCCGTCCCGCATTCATAAATGGAGACATCGTTGATCGCTTGTTACATACTCAATAAGTGGACATGTACTACGCAGCCAGTTTCAGAATGCTGGTATTCACTATTCAGAATTTATTGTAATTTCTTACTTTTACATGTTGTTAATTTAGAATATTTTATGAATATACTTTTTGTAGAATATATTTTTCTCTATTATTTTATTATATAGCTGATCTAATTAAAATGTCTGCAATATTATATATAGGAATATGCTTTCTATTTTATTATAGAATTTATAGTTTAAACGGTACTGGTCAAAGGAGCGCTATCGAATCGCCTGTCTGATCATGTACCTTGTGACAGGCTTCTGGTTCACCTACAGTGAATCAGCGAGTCTGTGTGGCGCTATGATGGTGATTCCCGAATAGGGGTTGCTCAGACGCCAGTTTTGGTATCGCAGTTTGCTCTGCGACCCTGTGGTACACCAGAGTGTACTCAAGGTAAACTCAGTGGAGGTAAAAATAATTCCAGGCGGTCACTGCTAGGTAGCCACTATACTAGAATAAATAAAAATAAAACACTTATCTTCTTTACACCTCGTAACCTACGGTACCCTGATAGAGAACGGTTAAGAACCAGCAATAAGATAAACACAGGAATAGGTAATAAAATATATATTTACAAAAAAAAATACAGCGGTGGTAGTGCACGGTTCTGGCACGGCGGTAAACGGAAAATTAAGTAAAATGAATAATTACAATTAAACGAGATTACAAGAAAGTAATTACGGATCCCTATATACAGAAAAAAATATAATAAAAGTAAATTATTACAATTGAAACTAGTTAAACAATAATGGCTCCCGGTATTCGGAAGATTTACTAAAAATAAATTATTACACTTGAAAACTAATTAAATATTAACGGCTCCCTATATTCGGAAAATTCATTAAAAATAAATTATTACCAATGAAAACTAATTAAATATAAACGGCTCCCTGTATTCGGAAAATTTATTAAAAATAAATTATTATACTTGAAAACTAATTATATATCGGTTTAAAGTCTCTCTCATGTAGACATCTGGTAGTCCATAGCTTCTGCAAGAGAGAAACCCTTTCCACGAGCTGTTATAAAGACTAGGGGCTGAAACAGCTCTGATTATCGACGGGGGAAGCAAGCGAATACCGCTATTACCCCCTGGTTAACGCGAAAATGGATGAAGGGTGTGAGTGCCCCCGGATTTAAATCCAATTTACTTTATTACCCTGACAGGTACTAAAGAAATTAAAAGTTCGTATTACCTTTTACTAGTACGGGAAAATATTTAAATCGGAAATTATGTACTACCCGGTATATGGAAGGTATGTTTTCCCAAATACACGAAATTAAATTAAATGTTCTGGTCAAAATAACAAAACAAAAAAAACATAATTAATTAAAACGGAGTAATTAATTTTTAATCAAACGGTTGACCAACTGAGAAGTTCATAAAAATGAATTTACGCGGTGTTTGGACAGCGAAGTGTTGATAGAAAAGATTATTTTGAGATTTGCCCAAAGTCGATCAAGACGGTTTGTGAATTAATTTTACAGAAAACGTCGGGCTTCGTTCAATAATTAGTTGTTGACGGGAAACGGAATAATATAATTGAATGAATAAATAAAAGAGAAACTTACATGAAAAATACTGGGCGCTTCTTATAAAAAATTGCCAACGGTTTTCCACTAAGGGATAAAATGAAAAATGCTGGGCATAAATCAAAATTCTTTCACTTGTCGGACGCGTGTCCCAACTAATTGTAAATAAAAAAAAAATATAATGCGGTTTTCTACATTAGAAAAATAAACGGGGTTGTTCAGCAGTCTAACAATATCACGGTCACTCACTAGTCGGTGGAGAAGAGAAAAGAGCTTACGGTTGCCGGAAATCAAGAGAGCGTAATTCCCAGATGTGATCGAATTTATGCTTTTTCGCTGGGCAAGATGGAAGACCGGTAAGCCCGAGTGGGGGATACCACCACTAGAACCTACTGTTTATAATTTAAAAATAAAAAAATGTCCTTCTAGTACCTTGACAAATAAAAGTAGATAATTGGTACGAAATCGACTCTAGAAAATGCCCATTCGGATTTCGGCAAATATAGGAATATTTTAACCTACTAAGGTACTCGCAATTGTTGAAAAACGGTAATTCCTGGGAAACAAAAATACGGGGGATCTTCTACATGTCCTCAGGCGGGAATTAATTGAAATATACATTTTTAAAAATAAAAATAAAATTTAGTGACTTCGTCACAACCTGGCACATGTCCTTTATTCAGCAGTCAGTATTAAAATGGTAAAAGGCCTGCAGTTTCCGGTTAACTTCCCATAAATAGGCCATTAATTCTAGACATTAAAGGGAAAATGAAGGCCTATTTATTGGATTTGATGGTTAAGTGACTTCGGCCCTACTGTCAGCCTTTTATCAGGCCTTTTATTCCCCTACACAAATTGTTTGTTGGGTAAGCTTGAACCGAAGGAACACCGAAAAATAGCAAACTTCTTTATTTGTAAGAATGGTCCATTAACTAAAATTCGTTGGGTTATTGAATTAAGTTGAGATATCTTGTGTTCTTTTTTTTAATTCTGTAACATCGTAATAGTGGTGTGCTAAAAACAAGTGTCCAAGAAAATTACTTCTAATTCACCAAAATAATATATTTGGGGATTCAAAATATTTAAAGATTTAGTAGCTAGGTACTCCAAATTATGATTGCTCGTGAATTGCAGTTTTATTTGCAGGTAGTGCTGGCTACAAATGTAAACATTTTATTTTATTTATTTTATTTCTTCACATACCTACGACATTCGTTTCTAGCACAATATGTTTCGATCAATACTAATTACATAATGATCATTTATCCATAACTTCTCTATTATTTGCTTTATACTAACATTTTCTAACAGTGGCGTCTGTCCATTTTCATCCTAACAGGTGTTGACTACTGCGCCAAGGGAAACTATTGTCATGCTAACGCTTCCTGCCTTAATTTACAAACTACTTATGCTTGCCAATGTGACCAGGGTTTTCAAGGAGATGGCAAATTGTGTATTGGTATGATACTTGTCTAATAGTGTGTATATATTTGTTTCATCATACTGTAGCTTATTATTTATTTGTGCACCTTATATGTCCTTCAAAATTTAATAGAATAATTGCACATGTAAGATATTTCCAATTTTTAATGAATGTTGTTATTGACTTATAGGTGGTAAAGATATAACCATAGTATAATCTATTAAATAAACACCAGCTTCTAATCGTTCTAGGTGACATGCTCTAGTTCATTATTGATAATTCACTTTAAAATTATGCAAATCTTGCGAGATTATTAAAAAACACAATTATCTAGTATTTCATTTTATCATTATAGAAGTAGTTACACAAATTATTGCACTAATATTTTGATGGACATAAAGCTTTTTATTAACAATTAAAAATAAAAAAATTCATCCCTAATTTTAATTTATGTCATTGTATTTTTATATATTTTTATTTACAATATATTTGTACAAGAGGTACAGATTGTATTTATAGTGTGACTGATTTAAGATACAGCATCTCCGTGAAATGAATATTTTTCAAACACGTTCAAAAATTCTTTTTTTTATGTAAAGCATCAAAAGGTATGTCCTGTCCAAAATTTGCATATATCAACATTAATGTCATTTAAATATCATAAACGAGTAAAGTTTATTAAGGACATCTTTTTAGATTTAATTAGAATTTCACTTTATTTTACGTTCTAAATTAAAACACCCAGCATTTCATTAAAAAATATGTTTTAACTCTTATAACAATATTGAAAATGCACTATTCGAGTTTATATTTTATTTACGTAGATTTTAGACAAATTCTTAAAACTGGCAACACTGTCAATAAAAAGTAGAACACAATAAGTTTTCTGTGAAAACCCGAATTATTTCTGGAGTAACAACTCTTTAAATACCCGTAATATAATAAAGAATTTTTGAAAACAGATAAAAAAATATGCATTTTGCAGATATATTTTCGTTTTAAGTGAACCACACTGTATATATTTTTTTATAAATTATTTATGAATAATAGTAGATTTTGAAAATGCTTGAATAGATACACAGTCTGTAGTCAAATCAATGTTTTTGTTTTTACTTGGGAGATCCTAAATATTATGTCAATATTAAAGGAGGTAGTAATTTCTTGGCATATTTTGTGACTATAATTTCAATAAACATGGGCTCTGAATTACTTTTTTTACAAATAATTTTTTTAAAGGTTGCCTTCCGACACGCCACTGAACTTAATAACTTTAATCTAATCAGGTTTAAATTATCCTACAAAGTTTAATCAAAATCGTCAAAAAATTATTTTGGAAAATAAAAAACCTATTTCTTTGTAATATATCCACCTGTATCTGTATCGTGTGGAGAGTGAGATAACCCACGGCAATTGGGCCTTACTAGGCCCATTGTGCATCCTCCTAAGCATCTCCTAGCTCGTGAGCCAGCCCACAGATTTAATGTAGTTGACAATGTCGCCAAGAGTTGCTTCTCTTATATAGCCAAACACCCTGTATCTTAGAAAAATCAATTTAGAGCGCATATTTTTTAAAAAGTTTAATCATAAAATGAGCTAAAAATTAACTCTTTCATTATTATTAACATGACTTTTAGGAATACCCTGTATATTTAGAATAGTTTATTTTGATTTATAATTCTTGTCAACACTATAGTTTATTTCTAGAAACCACAACCAGAAGAAATAACAAATGAAAATAGGGAATTAAATTTTATGCTTTAGCATTATTCTTTTCTCTTTAGAGTTTATTGAATCCAAAAATAAAAAAATATCACTAGGAATCGAAATTTATTTAAAATTTAGGATTGTATACTACTTCCAAGCATTGTACTTCAAAATTACCACCCAGGTCACGTAGCTGTCTAAATGATAAAATGATACCATAGTATCTTCTGTTTTTCCTAATTACATTCATATAATCTTTGTTAGTCTACTATCTTTCATAAGTTCAATAATATTGGTCGTGGTTTCTTTTCTTTTATGTTCCATTTTTCATTTAATTTTTGTTCTTTGTTGGGTAATTTGCCAATAAACATCAATATGAGTTTTATTATTTTTTAATATTAATGCTTCCAACCTCGGAAATTCCTTCTAAACATTGACAGTACCTATGCTCTTCAATAAATTTCATATTTTAGATTTCTTCGCAATTTGGATTTCCTAAATTTTTTTATACGATAAGAATCATTTATATCCCAAAGTAGCTATTTAGAAAAACAGGAATTTGAAAATTTGCACGAACCAAGTCTTAATTATATTTTAATCTTATTTTTTTTACATTTAGATACCAACGAATGTGATCGAGAAGGCGGCCTTGATGGCCACCATTGCCACCAAAACACGATATGTGTTAACACTCCCGGTTCCTACTTATGCCAATGTCTTCCGGGATACAGAAGAATAGATAGGTTCAATTGCGCCGAATTGGACGAGTGCAGTACAGGCGAACATAACTGTGATGTAAATGCCGAGTGCATTAATACTCAAGGGAGCTACCATTGTGTGTGTAAAGAGGGTTACACCGGTGATGGATATACCTGTCAACGTAAGTATGGAGAAGTAGTATCTAGAAATCACTAATTAAGTAATAGGGTAATTAAAGGTAATATCTTCGACATTGGTTACTATTTTTTATTAATTTGTATTTCTTTATTGGTTCCTCAATGTTCAATTATTTCTGCTAGCCGCGACTTTCTTCATCCGCCACTCAGGGTACTGTAGGGAAAATCAAAACCGTAGAACCTTCCACCTTTCTGTTTTTAACTCATAACATTGTATTTCACTGTTTTCTAACTTTATTTACACTATCTTTACTCTATTCGTAACTTCTAAAGTTGTATCAATTACTTGATAAATACCTACCTTTTCATTAAAATTAGGGATATCCAATCGCCTTATATATACATATTGCTTTTGCATCTACATATATGTTTAAGAAAAATATTTTATTTCGCTGGGATAAAATCTCCTTTCTATTCAAACGACTCTAAATAACCAGTCAAATTTTCTTCACAATTGAGTATTCACTTTCGGTTGGACTCTAGTGAAAGTCATCATTAATTAATATATTTTTATAAATTGTCATTTGATTTTATTTTTTAGCGGTTTGTAAACACAAATGCATAAATGGCGGTGTCTGCACGAGTCCAGGCAAATGTTCGTGTCCTCAAGGATACACAGGGCATAGTTGCGAGCTAGATTTGGACGAATGCGCTACCGACACGCATAGATGTACAAACGCTTCGATTTGTGTAAATATGATCGGATGGTATTATTGTAAATGTAAAAATGGATATAAGAATCCTTATAAAGACAATAATTTAGGACTAATTTGTGAAGGTAAGTACACATAAGCGATTTTGTCTTTACGTATGTTTCAATTATTTTAATTTCATTGAATTTTACTGTTGAGAACCTGTTTAAAACTAAAAGATTTATTAGCAAAATTAAACTTATTCTTATGGTATTATACGAGAATTCACCAATACTTCTGTACAAGTGATTACTCTTTTATCTTTACCTGCACAATATTAATTTTAAAACTATTTTGAATTTTGTCAATGTCTATACCTATCAACTATTAAAAATTTGATTCGTTTATAAAACCTATAGACTCCTTTAAAATATCACTTCTATATTATTTTACACTATTATGAAAACGAACTGAGATAACGTTCTAAAGATTTATATATTTTATTTTTTACAGATATTAATGAATGCAACAGTAGCCTTCATTCTTGTCACCCTTCAGCTCAATGTAAAAATACCGATGGGGGTTACAAGTGCGAGTGTCCTCCAGAGAGGCCCACCTGCAAGTTGAGCTGCAAATTTGAAGAGGGGGAGCTACCCAACGGGTGGAGGGGGCTGTTAACCAACCATCTTTGCCAAGAGTGCGAGTGTAATAAGGGAGTACTAACTTGTGAACAGCTTAAGTGAGTAATAGTTAATAGTGTAGCTTATGGAGTGTAGAGAAAAGGAGGACAATCTCATAATGGTTTTTTATTTAAAAAAGTGTCTACTCAAAAGCAGTAAATACGGTTTAAGAAAGTGACCACCAGATTGGCGCTCGTGTACTAGAAGAGCAAGATCCAATGATATATAGTTATATAGATTGCTCATATATAAATCAGACCACGAAAAGCGGATTTCTATATTCGCTTTCAAACGCCATTCTGGAACAGTGACGCCATCTTAATTTCATACATTTTGAGGAACTCTGTAAACAGATATAAGTTCTCCTTACCTCTATACTTCATAGTGTACCTGAAGAATAGGTAAACTTTGATTCAATAGTAAAGAGTACAGCTGCATTACAGCGAAAGTGTCATCATATATTCAGTGCCATATTTTATAAATATACAGGCTGGTAATTTAAAACTTTACAATGGCTCTATTTCATGAATTTTATGAAGAAGTTACTACTTGAATGATCTGCTACGCTAATAATGCAGTAATTATAAAAAGAAAAAGAGAAAAATCTTTAATGATCCAGTAAAAAGTTATAACTAATTAACAAATCTGCTGCCATTTTGGGATGTCATAAAAAACAAATACATGGCGAACAGAAATTAAAGACAGAATACACTTACAGTAAGGAGATTGAGTCTTACTCCTCTACTCCTTTATTTGATTCTGAAGGTACCATATCTTGTCTACGCCAATTACTGTACAGCCTAACATCGTATCTGATGAAATATTGTTTTATTATATATTTTTTTAATGATATGGGTGTATCTGTCTTCTTTAATTTTCCATATTCCTATTTTAATAGGTGCAATTGCAGCCTTCCCAACATGTCAGATAACAACTGCTGTCCGGAGTGCAACCCGAGGCATTCTTGCCGCCACCAAGAGTTGCGACACGTTATCTTTAATCATGGAGATCACTGGTCATTCCAGTGCCATACCTGTGAGTGTTACAAAGGAGAAATAGATTGTATGCCAATGATCTGTCCTCCTCTATTCTGTGACAACCCAGTGAAGAACCCGGAGGATTGCTGCGGGCACTGCGAAGGAGATCCATGTTCCTTGACCACGGGGAATTCTTCTGCGACCGGTCAGTCATGCACCTACAGGGGACGAACCATCCAATCGGGGTCTCAATTTATAGACCCCAATGACAGATGCACCACTTGTAACTGTAAGGTTGGTGATGTTTAATTTTATTGATAGTAGGGCCGATTTGGGTAGAATTTTAAGAATTTTTGGTAAAAGTGTTAGAATTTGGCTTATTTCGAAATTTAAGTCTATGAAAAATTAAGTAGACATATTTTTAATAAATATTTTCAAAGCAATTTTTGAACATTCTCATTTGGTTTAAAGGTTACTCTAAATGCAGTTTAATAGCAGTTAACATTTATGAATTATTTTAGGAATGATTTTATGAATGATTTTAGCAATTATTTTAGGAATTATTTTAGGAATTATTTTAGGAATTATTTTAGGAATTATTTTAGGAATTATTTTAGGAATTATTTTAGGAATTATTTTAGGAATTATTTTAGGAATTATTTTAGGAATTATTTTAGGAATTATTTTAAGACTTATTTTAGGAATTATTTTAGGAATTATTTTAGGAATTATTTTAGGAATTATTTTAGGAATTATTTAAGAAATTGTTTTAGGAATTATTTTAGGAATTATTTTAGGAATTATTATGGGAATTGTTTTAGGAAATATTTTAGGAATTATTTTAGGAATTATTTTAGGAATTATTTTAAGAATTATTTTTAGAATTATTTTATGAATGATTTAGGAATTATTTTAGGAGTTATTTACGTAGAAGCCTTAGAAATTTGTTTAAAAATAAATTTCACTTATTACGAGCTACTAAATGTGAATTGCCCCATAAAAGTAAAACAAAAAATTTTTTGTCGATATATTTCTGTCTTGTTAAGTAACATGTGATATGTTTCAACAAATAATTACATTTTTTAAATAAAAATCAATGAACTGATAGATTGTATTCCTTATCTGGTCATTCTTGTAAAAGACTTCATTTTTCCGAATTGTTCATAATTTTTTAAGAAATATAAATTCAAAACTGTGTGTACACTAATGGTATGATTTAAAAAATAATTTATATTTGGATTTACAAGGTATTGTTTACAAAATTCTTTTATGCAACTATGCATCTATACAAATTAATATTTTCATTTAACTTTAAAATTGTCAAATTAATACTTTTATCAAAAATCAAAACTTTACACAACAAAATATAATATCGGCTCGACTAAGGACTTTTGTAGACGTTTTATAGATATTTTTTTGTATCTTATAACCTAAACGACTGAACTGACTGGTCTGTTTTGTCTTGTTTACCAACAGGAAGGTACAGTGGTATTTAAGATGTTGCTTGAATGCATTAGAAGCAGAAAATAGTGCCTTTGTGTTGTCTCCCTTTCTACCATTTGTTCATTTCATTATAACATTTTTTTAATTATCTCTTATTTTTATTTTTCCTTTTGATGAGTTTCATTGGCTGTGGCCAGGGCCTAAATTACTTATTTAGCTTGAGGATAATAATTCAAGAAACAAAAATATATTCAAGTTTCCTAACTTAATAAGGTACGTCTCTTAGTTATGTTGTCAACAATTTTGGAATCCTATAATAGTAGACATTTGTATAATGTTCAGCACTTTTACAAACAAATCAAATTGCGTGATAGAATACCAGTAAAATTATGTTATATAGCTATGTTTTTTTTTTGTTTTGTGGTTATCCTTATACAAAAACGGATAAATACAAAAGCAAAACAAAAAAAAAGATAAAAATAGAACAACGGACATGACTAGGATTATGAAGTAAAATAATAAAAACAATGGTTTAATATATTTTAATGACACCCCAATTTTGTACCAAAGAATTCATATAACTAACGTTAACTTTCATAAAAAAAACAATGTGTTAATTAAAAGAAAAAAATTTGCTGAATAAAAACTACTAAAGAAGGCACTGATCAGTACCGAAAGCTATAACCACACATACGTTTTTTATTTTGATCTACAAGCACCTACCAACCCAAGAACTACAAAAAAAAATATTTGTAGGTACAATTATGAGGTGACCCCACAAAAAATTCAGAAGATTCAAAAGTTGTCCTTTTTCTTCCAAACTAATATTACTTAAAAAACATGCATAAAGACGTATATATTTTTTGTGTTCAATAAATAAATATATACGTTTCAATTTATAAATTGCTCCTTCAACTTTATATCAAATTTTGAGATTTTTCCAGAAACAGAAAATGTTACTGCTATTTGAAAATTCAACTTGCATATGATTGCAGCAGCGCAGAATAAATTACGTTCTACATTCTATAAAAATTACATATTTCCAAAACTGTTGATAACATAATATTTCTAGTTTAGACACAATTTTAAGTTGGAAGTACTTAATCAAAGTATATCAAATCTGGGATCAAATTCTAATGGTTTCTTCATTTAAAAAATGACGAATAATATTATGTACTTACCTGCTTTTTAAATCTACTAATACACTGGTTTGCTAATTACTAACAAATGAGACTAATATTGCATTGTTTGACAAATATAAATTAAGTAGTTGATTTTGTGAGACAAAGATAATTTACGAATGAAATATATTATAATGATCCGTAATAATAGCTATCAAATGAATTATTTAAGTAGGTATTTAGAGTCACACTGTGAACAAGTTTCTTCTTAAATGTTTACTTTAGTTAATTTATTTTTTTATACAACATAATATATTCTCTGCTATATTTAATAAGAAAAAAATTACTCCAGATTGTATTTAGTCAATAATAAATTAAATTACAATTAATCTCACAAAATTAACTAATAATATTTTAAAATAAAGGTTAGCGTGTGTTCTCTGGTAGTTTTACATTTTTATAGACAACGCCGTATTTCATGAACCAAAATGGAGGTAAAAACCTTTTGTAGTTTTTTTATACTTTGTACCACCTTTTTGGTTGTATAGTATAATTATATTGTACTTATAATCTTTAATCCCTAGGGAGTAAAAGTGCCATTAAGTAAATTGAACTTAATCCCTAGGGACAACTTCAGAAAGATTTGGTGGTTGTGATAGTAGAACCATATTGAAAATCAAAAAAATAGCATTAACTGTAGTAGCCTTTCTAAAAATAAATATTCAAGGATGTTAGAAAAAGTTAATGGTGGAGAATTATAATTTATAATAATATTTCTTTAGCAGCCCTTTTTTAATAATAGGATAATTTTGCATTTTTAAGCAGATCACAAAATGACACATTTATTAAAAATGCTAGAGGAGATATGATTACAGTGGGGGTTGCCTACATCTTTGTCAAATTATTCATGTATCTCTAAAAATATTTTATATTTGGATGTGACGTAAATATATTCATAAAATGATCTGAGTTTACGTATATTTAAGGTTCATCAAATCCTAAAATCGCAATTTAAAATTGACAGAACCATTTTTTACTTAAAATAAATTCTTCCTAACTCTGCCTATCAAAATATTTGATCAACCCCCCTACATTGTATAAACACAAAATTATATTCTTTCATTATCATATTTATAACTTATGCCCATCTTGGCATGTTACCTTTCAAAGCCATTAAGACTATAATTACATCATATGTAAAAATAGGCCACATTTTCGGCAAAAGCCAGCCGATCTTTCTTTTTCTAATCGCAAAGACAATCAGTTTATTTTTAAGATAAATGTTGGTAATTTGCAATTTAAACATTTGTAAACTACATAAAACCTCGAGAAGATTATATGTTTTTTCAGAAAGCTAAAGAGTGGAAGTGAATAATTTTTATTCTCAAACAATACAGACAGATGACCCTTAATAATAAATTTAAGTAAGTAGGTACTCTTAACATAATGCATGTTTGTAAACCAGTAATTCGTCATAAAGTTTGTTGTATTTAATAATACAAAAATGAACTTTACTAATTTACATTCAACATTTTTTATTTACTTTTCTATTGACAAGAAGACCATGGAATTTTCAAACCATTTAGTTAAAGTCTAAAAGATCTCGAAGGCTATAAATACTATGCCGCTCAGTTTCTTTTTAAAACCAGCAGCGTGGCTATGAAAGTCAAATCACTTTGTATAGTAATTCTGACACTGTCAAAAATTTTCTTGTTCGCAAAAAGCCCACCAAAAAATGTAAGGCTGCCACTTCACTTTCCGTTTTTCTTTAAGGTACCATTTGAGAACGCGAAAATGATGCAAAGCTACAGCGATAGGCAGTAAGACAGCAAACACTGCTATCGCGTCTCTTTCATCGGTCGCGCTGTCTCAAATGTGCTTCATTTAATTACATGTGATTCAGACGTAAAAACACATTTCGGTCGCCTTATGCGATCGTCTACCTCCTGTGGGATATCTCGGTCTCGCGTTCCCAAATGATATCTTCAGAATTTTTATTTGGTGAATTTTTCATGTAGAGCAGGGACAGAAGTTAAAAAGGCTTTTGGTAGATGGAGAGGTGATAAACGACTTCGAGAATTTCGCGAAAATGTTTATCTGCCAGTTTCGTATCATAGAATAAGTAATTTTAAATTGTTACCGGCGAAACTAGGCAGTCGTATTTATTTATGGGTTAGACATAATTATTTAAACAATTATTATAATAGCAGCCCAAATCATAATTCTACAAAATTTCCATCACAATTTATTAAACTATTTACATGCATTACGGCGAATTGTTATTAGCATCTATGAAATAATTTTCTATGCCAATGTATCGCGTTCACTTCGGTTACCTTCGTGGCAAAACTATCAATTCTCGTGTATGAAGTGGGAGAACTACGAAAAGCCTTTTCCAGTTCTCTCCCTGCTATATATTTAAAATGTTAACCAATTAAAAGATGTGTATCTGTTTGGGCCATAAAACTACGCCACCGAAAAAAGAAATATAACCACATAAGACTAAAAGATTATCCATTTTTCTCAAATGTGGTCATGTATTCAATAAGAATAAAACTGCCCAAAATCACAATGTTGGGTATGGGGTATTAATGCACTGCGACCTGTAAGATCTATTGTGCCCCTTCTGTCGCTAATGCATTAAGTAAATAGTATCGATTCCTATAACGAGTTAGGTAGATCGACCTCTTCTAATTGGTATGCTCCTAAGTATAACGCCCTTGGATTCTA